AGAATTGCATGGTTGATGAATATATGTAAAATATAAGATCCAGAAGACTGCTAAACTCAAAGAAGTTAAAATGGAAAGTGATGACTAGTGAAGAGCTAAGTGTTCTGACAATGAGCAGCAGAAAACAAACTAATATGATTTTCCTTTCTTTGGTTTCAGCAGCCTTCCTGACTGGTTTAATCTGGTTCATTTCTGAATGTCAATTCTGAAGTAGGGTGCTTCCAGGATCATCAGAGTGGTGTCAAAGATTATGATCTTATAATCTGATTTCAGCAGAATACAAAATTTCTATCATACAAAATACTTTGCTATGGCTTAAGCACACTCACCTGGGTCAGAGAAGACTGCTTTTGAATGACATGCCAGAAGCAGTAACAATAAAATATTAAATATTGATCCATGAAAAGTGCACCATATACTGTTGACAAAAAGAGATGAAGAAAGGTTTAATGCAAAATGTGAAAAAGTTACATTCTGATAGATTTGTACTTAAAATGTATTTTCAAATGACAAAACTTTTAAAACTTGTACTCAAACACATTTGTTAGAAAAGTAATCTACTTTTTACTCAGGTCCTCTATAGTCATTAACAAAGAAATTACTAGTTCCCTTTTTGTGTATAATTTCATTATGTTACATTTGTGACATCATCTAAAGTGCTTTGCAATTAGTCACACTCTGACTTTTGAGGTTTATCATTTATTTAGAAAAACTTCCTAACAAACTTCAGTTCCTATGATAGAAGATGCTGGATGTACTAAGAAGTTCCACAGCAGGTCTATAGAGAACATAGTACTCAAAGGGAAAGCCCACCAATTATGAGCATAATTCAGTCATTGAGATGTAAACAAAGTCATTCATATTAGTTTCATGTGAAATGGAGCACTGTAGAAGAAACATACTAACTGAGATTTCTTTACAGTGGTGGTGACAGGGACCAACTGGAACCAACACAAATATTTCCATTTTATTTAACAACAAGTGAACCTACACATATCCTTTGAGTTTTGGATATAATGTTGATAATGGTAAAATAGAGATAAATCTTAAAAAAAAAAAAACCCTTTAAAAAACTATTTTGACTATTTTGCCTTATAATACCCTGCATGTATCTTTCCACTTTGAATGAATTTAAAAAATGATTTAGTACAAAACATTATATCAAAATAATCAACACATAATGTCTCAAGCATCAGTCAGTGTATCATAACCATCCATCCATCCATCATCCAAACCGCTTATCCTTCTGGGTCGCGGTGGGGTGCTGGAGCCTATCCCAGCTGTCATTGGGCGGAAGGCTGTATCATAACCATTTTATGTAATAATTTACTTGTAGTAGCTTTTAGATGCATTAGCCATATATGATTCCTACCACCACAACTGTTAACTATTCAGACTCTGTTTCTCTAGAACAGGGGTGTCCAAACTTTTTTCAAAGAAGGCCTAATCGTACCAGGTCAAAATACCCAAAAGCCCATATACATACATACATCATCTAAACCGCTTATCCTTCTGGGTCGCGGTGGGGTGCTGGAGCCTATCCCAGCCGTCATTGGGCAGAAGGCAGGATACACCCTGGACAGGTCGCCAGTCCATCACAGGGCAGACAGACAGACACACACATTCACACACACACTCACACCATGTGAGTTCAGCATGTCCAACCAGCCTGACTGCATGTTTTTGGACTATGGGAGGAAACCGGAGTACCCGGAGGAAACCCACGCAGACACAGGGAGAACATGCAAACTCCACACAGAAAGGACCCCGGTCGCCCGGCCGGGAATCGAACCCAGGCCCTTTTTGCTGTGAGGCCACGAGAGCCCATATATCATTCAAAATTTATGCAAAATATTATATTTTCACAATCTAATCGCATACAATCAGAGCTTTCTGTGTGCCACCACGTTTCCTATCAGTGTAAAAAGACACACAAGGCTTCTTTTATTGTTGGATTGCTCGGAGCAATTTGGATCAGTAAGTGCTTATAACAAGTACTTAAATTGCTTAATAGGAGTAACAATAAAACACGTCTAACATATTAAGTATATTCATATTCAAGCATTTCTCTGCCCTCTTCTCTACTAAGTATTGTATTGTACTGGCTGGCGGGCCACTTATGAGACACTCTTAAACAGAAGCCACGGGCCAATCAAAATCTGTCTGCAGGCTGCATTTGGCCCTGGGGCTAGACTTTAAACACCCCTCATGTCAGACCACTTTGCCTACATCTTAACGATTTCATTATGCAGAAATTTAGAAAATTTAGTGGAATTACCTCTTAAGTAGTTGTTTGACCTGCTATTTCTGTGTATTTACTCAAGCTGTATTTTGGAAAAGTTCCTTTTGTTTTAGCTGTGCCATTATTTCATTGAAATAACAAAACTTGTACTTGGGAGTAATGGACCAGGCTACCCTGTACACCTCAGAAAATATCACATCTTAATCTAGACTGAACAATATGGATAAAATACCATTTTATTACTATTATATTGCTTAGCCTTGCAATATATTTCAAAAAGGCTCATGAAAATTACCGTTTTATGTTTGGGTACCCCTTTTAGTGTGTTTTAGGTTTAGTTTTTTTATTGAAACATTTAATGTGTACTTAACATTTTGGATAATTAATATAAACACTATGAATTATTTTGTATACAACATGACATAAAAATGTAGTTTTGTAAATCGACTACACACTTAAAAAGATGGTTCTTCAAGGGTTCTTTTGTAAAGGCCATGGTTTTATTTAGAACCATGAGATCTAAGCACTTTTCATGCTTAAACAGTTCTTTGCATGGTGAAATTGTTCTTCAGATTAATGGAGAAAGTGTTGCATACAGTTCTATATAGAACCTTTTTGAAAATGGTTCTATATAACACCAAAAAGGGTTCTGCTGTGGCTACGATGTCAAGCTTGTAACAATAGAAGAGCCATTTTTGGCTCCATATAGAACCATATCCAACACATTCTCCATCAACCTGAAGAACCATTTCACCATGTAAAGAACCATTTAAGCACGAAATGTTTCTGTTTAGAACTTATAGTTCTAAATGGAATCACTGCCTTTACTAAAGAACCCTTAAAGAACCAACATTTTAAGTATGCACATTCAGACTCTACTAAGCTAAAGCCTGTTGACAAATATAGTAAAAAATCATAATGCAGGCTGAAATCGTTTTATAACTACATCCTGTATCGAAACCGACTCAGATCGAGAGGTGCCTGCAGGTTCTCACTCTTGGCTAGTAGCTGCATCGCATCATTCAGCAATATCGGCAGATGTAGCTATAAACAAACGATGTATCGTGCAGTGCGAGTGTTGTTTGGAGTCGTGGAACAGCGCTTTAGCGACAAGCTAAAGTGAAGTTTGTTCGTATTATATTAGGGGGTAAATGAAGCCAGTGAAGCCCGATGCTGCAGTGCGGTTTGCTTTCACAAAACCGGAGTAAATAAACTGATGTCGTCATGAACGCGGCTCTCACCGTCTTCACGAAGCCCAACACCGCTTTTAACACACCACACCAGCGCTGAGACTTACCTTCCGGAGTAGGCGGGGATCAGCACGTACTGAATAACCACGTAGTCGGCGTAAAATACGCTAAAATATGTCAAAATAAGACAAATGAAACCGCACGGGTCTCGCCGGCAGCGAAACGACGCCATCTTCGGATCCCCTGTCTTCCGGGTGACGTCACGGGGAGGCTGGCAGCGTGATGTGATTCTCTCTCCTTTTTTCTCTCAAATATTTATCATTTGCAGATGTTACAAACAGTAACGCAAAATACATATGTCAGGGTGATAATAAAATATATATAGAACAAAGAGATAGATAAAATAAAATAAAAAAAAAGGCCTCGAGCATCAGAAAAACATTACATTTTATGGTTCCACTGACATTTTTTTGGTTTTCTCACTGTCACAGAGAAAACTGATTTTAACATATTCTTCGGGTTCACGTAGAAAAATATTTATGTACATGAAACTTAAACTAGAATAAGTTTTAGGTTTTTCATATATATGCATTTCCACGCTTGTCATATCTAAAGTAACCAAACAGAACATGTTCATATAACAAAATAAAGCCAGAATAGATTTTCTCAATGATAACCTTGGTGACATCTTTTTTTTAGCATGACGGTCAGTACGGTGCAGTTTCTGGTTTTGTTGTGCAAAAGGAACTATTTATGCTCATATCATCTTTGAATTTAGCCCAAAAAAGTTTTCCAGGATAAAATTTGTGCAAAAATTTGTCAGAGACTTCCCTTATCATCTTGCGTTCATGCTCCACTCTCTTGGCACTGCTGGAATTAGGGTCCCAAAATCACAGCTTAAGACATTTAATGAGTCTGCTGAGAAATTAAAGACAATAGCTCTAACCCAGAATAGTTTGATCATATAAACATTATGAATTTTGCCATAGAAATGCCTAAAAAACAATGAACGTTTAGGCCCAATTCAGACTGCTTAGTGAGAAAAGGCCACATTAAACAGTAATTCCACAAACTTTTCTAAATGTCTGCATAATTCAAATTGTCAAGAGGTCAAAGTCATTCAGTGTGGTTTGATGTGAAATGACACATTACAGAGAAAATTATCTCACAGCGGTGGTGATGGTTACCAGAAGTCTGAAGCATTTAATGCCTCTAAAAGCTCCCTCACAAAAAGTTACCACATGAAATGGTTGTGAATACGTTACCTAAAACAGTTTTATGATAGTTTTGAGATAACATTTTATCCATTCATGGTATAAAAGAACACACGGAATGCAACAAGTCAAAACAGTCCCCAAAAAGTATGTATTTACCACTATTTTAGCATCATTACATATAAAACAGACACATGTAGCTTCAATGGTCATTTTGGATGGTAAGTAAAATGGCTATAATTGGAGTTCAGACTCCAGAGAACACTATGCACCACCTACTAGGACAGCACAGATCACCTGGGAAAACAGCAAATCTCTGACCTGGTTTCAAAGCCAACTGAAACACACACATACTATTGGAATGATAAACATGTCTTTATTTTTCCAAATCACAGAACGACCAGTTTTTCATTAAGAGCAATCTGAGCTTGGGTGAGATTTGCCAGGTATGTCACCATCAGTAGGTCCTGTGAGAAACATCATAAATAAAACGTAAGTAAAACTAAAATGCCAAAAGTGCACAAACAAGAGGCAAACAGCTTAAATCACTCACATTAATGTTGGAGTTCAGCATGCTCTCAAAGTCCTCTGCAGAGATTTTGGGGACTTTGTTAACCAGATCCATTAGGTATCGCCCAACGCTGTTATCTGCCATCACCTTGCCAGACTGGGGATGGAGACACATGACAAATAAATTCAACAATGGAGTACTGTTGTTTACAAAATGTAAGTGAACTGACAAAGTGCCTCAGCACTGTCCAATAATTAAACAAGAATCTCCAGCAATTTTCTACTCCGAATACACTTACCAGGACATCTTCTATGTACGAGAGCACTGTGGTTAGCATTTCCTGTATGCGTCCTGCTGCACTTCCCACCTGAGCCAAGTCTGAGGTCAAGCCATTGGTGCGACTGGGAGATGCACGAGTCCTTTGTAGGAGATCAACTAGGAGGCAAAACAGATCACACATGAGAAACAGAACTACATAATGTAAAATTTATTCCTTAAAATTACAGTTTGTTATTGTTACTGTGCCTTTAAGACTGCATACATAAGCTCTGTTCGGTTGTTCACTCAAAAAGCAGTAAAGGCTAAAACACTCATAATAACTTCAGTGTGAATGGGTGGAACAAACTGCTGAAGCTAAAAAGACAGATATTTGTTGACAAATGGCAAATTCAAAACGGGCCATTTTGTGGCTTAGTTTTCATGTACTGACCGTGTGGACTGGTATGTCAAATGTACATTTTAAAACCTTGAAGGTTACATACTAGACCAACCTTGTATTAAAAAAAAAAAAAAATTATATGGGCACTTTGAACCAAGTAAAATGTTGATCCTTTGTTTAGACTATATTACCACATTATGCTCTATGTATGCCACAGTCACAGAGGTGACATAAGCAGAATGGTTTAACGTTCTGCAGCGTAGACCTACATTAAAGTGGAAAATTAGAATTCTCCAGCAGCCACTTGAAATTTCTTCAACTGTATTAATCACCTTAATCAAAAACACAGCTAAACTATTAAACTAACCACAGGTGTAAGCGTGCCTGACGCTTAAACACTTGGTGGTAAAAGGAGGACACTATAGAAACTTAAAATACAAAAGTAGCTTTCTCAAGACACTATAAAAAGGTTATGATGAGAGTATGCAAGTTCAAAGGCAGCACCAAATGTATGCACATGCTAAAATTGAAGTGATCTTAGTGCAACCTTTAAAAGTTATTTTGAAAAGTAGTCCCAAAAAACAAAACATCAATTTTAAGCAGTAAGCTATGCATAACAAATATATTCAACTTGTAGCTGTATTATCTATGAGTACATGAGATTGGACTCAATATTGGCAGAAACACAACATTAAATAACTTGAATTAAACTGTTCTTTGCATCGTGAAAACATTCTTTAGATTGATGGAGAATGCACTCTAGATGGTTCTATACAGCACCTACTTAAAAAGGATTCTATATAACAGCAGAACCCTTTTGGTGTTGTTACAGTGTCAGGGTTGTATCAATAGAAGAACACTTTTTGGTGTTATATGGAACCCTTTTCAAAAAGGTGCTATATAAAACCATCTACAGCACATTCTTCATCAATCAGAAGAAACTTTCATGATGCAAAGAACCCTTTAATCATGCAAAGGGTTGTTTGAGTGTTAATGGTTCTATATGGAATCATTTTCTTCACTAAAGAACTGTTGAAGAGCCATCTTTTTAAAGTCTGTAGGAACCCTAAATAGAACTATGATGTTCTGAATATTTGAGCCATGTAAGCAAAGTTATGCTGCTCTTTTTTTAACATACGTGTTTGTTGACAGAATGGACCTGACTGAGAACCTCTGAAAATCTATGCATGTACAAGAAGCAGTAGTGGCTAACCTCCAATGCGCTCTGTGTCGTAGTAAACATATTTTACTGTTAAGGGTGTGAACATCACGCCAACAGTCTTTCCTGGAACACCCATCTGTGCACTGAGAGATCAAATAATCAATCAGCAAAACAAAATCAAGAAAAATCAAGAAGCAAAAAATAGTGAAGTCAATGCTGCAGTTCAGCTGTAGGAGAGCAAATGAGCAAGCAGGCTGACCTGACATAAGCACGAATGTTCATTTTGTTGCTCTGCAGTGCCGTGTCCACAGTGAGGTGGATGGGGTTCTGAGCTTCCCGACTGTAATACTCATGGATTAGAACAGAGTGCTCTGTGATGTCATATCCTGTAGCATACCTGGAAGACAGAACATGTAACACTCTCAAAACAAACAGAAAATGCAAGCAAAGCCATATGACAAAACATTTAAATATACTACAGTGAAATGAACAAATTAAGCTATTGAAATGATAAAACTAGGAAAAACTGAGTAGCCACCTACCAGCCGATGATGACTTCACTGGGTGAAACCTTTTTATGAAGTTCGTACATGTTTTTTGCAAACTCCATGTCCACTGCCACCTACAATATTTTAAAGGAAGAAAATCATGACCTTACAAATCACCCATCACTGTACACTAGTATGTCTAAAATCCAGTCTTTAAATGCCATAGCATTGTAGTTTAGTATTATACCTGCTCTACTGAGCTATACCACTAGGCACATGCAACAACCGCATAGTTACTGGCAGTAAATACTTTCTAAATTTCAAATCAAACCTCTGGGTCAGAAAACATTAGGTGTCCATTCTATACGATAAAAAAACAACTTTTTTCAACTCAATTTGTACCTAAACGGGCAGAGGAGAAACAATTCTAAATTCACAATGTGAAAAATTTAGGTCATTTGGCTAGTCAGGCCCTGAGCGGCATTCTATTTTGGCACACCTCTTGTATGCAAAGACAGAAAAATGATGAACAGTTGATTTGATTAGGAAAAACTGGTTCAGACAGCTGACTAGGGTTCCTAAAATAACAGTTTAAGGAGTACATACTTTCTTTCTGGTGGCTCAAGGGCCCCTAAGTAACATTACCTATAGCAAGGTTATTATTATTTTGGGATTAGTGTGGGATATGTAATAACACGCTCCTGTGGACATGCAGGTGTGTGCACTCCTGTGTTTCCTGTTTCTGCCGTTAAATGAGCACAGGAACCAAGCCCATGTCAGCACAATGAAATGCAAGCAGCACTCTCTAATGGGATCACAGCTAGAGGAAGAGACAGGCTGTCTACAATACAGACATCAACAGGAACACGTGAAACTTAAGACATTATGTCTGACATGCAACAATAATATTAACGTTACAATTAATGCAGTGGTTACCAGCCATGCTCCTGGAGATGCAACAACCTTGCTGGAAAGTTCACTTTCAACCCTCATTAAACAAATCTTTATCCAAATCATCAGTCTAAATATGTTAGATGTGTGGTGAAACTGAATTATGAAGGAAGGCTGAATACCAGGAGCAGGGCTGGTAAGCATTGAATAACACTGAAAGGGAATTGCACCAATTTTCAAATTTCTGAATAATTCAGTCCTTGACATGTAAACAAAGTCATTCAGAATGGTTTGACATAAAATAGTTAATTGCAGAAAAACTTTGAGGCTCCTTTTTCTTACAGTAGTGGTGATCGGAAAAAGGGACCAAGATGTCTACAACAACATAGCCGTTGTATTTATTACCAAAAACAACCAATGAACCTACTTGTGTTTACTAAGTTTTTATATGCAACGTTGATGATGGTAAAACGGTCATAAATCTGAACATCATAAGTTTTCTTTAAGGACTATTTTGCCTTACAACACTCTGCATGTAACCCCCTGCTATAAATGGACTGAAATACTTTTTAAGCCAAAGGTATCACAAAAAAGTGTCTCAGACATCAGGCAGCGTATTCATAACCATTTCACATGTAATAACTTTTTGTGAGACAGATTTTAGGGACAAACTCTTCAGAGATCTGGTTCCTATCACGACCACTGTGAGCAATTCTGAAGTTTTTCTACAATGGAGCATTTCATAGCAGACCACTCTGAATGACTTCGTTTACATCTTAATTATTGATTTATGCAGACTGTTTTGAGAAATCGGTGGATTTCCCCGTTTAAGCCCTCAAAAAGGCTAAGGCTAAATTATCTACACCAGCCTACGATATTTTCTTACCTCGTCTTCTGACTCATTGTGAGGAACAGAGAAGCAGTTGGTGACCTCGACAGAGTGTTTATCTATCGTTCCTGTGGACAAAAAAAAATATTTCTCGTTATGATGTCAAAATAGTAACGCTGAATTTCTACATATGCTCGCTGCGTCAGGACCCTTTGCGCCATCTAATCAGGAGACATGCGCACTAGCATTAGCCGGCACAGCACGCTGGAGACGAACAAAGGCAGGTTTCTGTAACAAACATCTTTCTCCCTAAATTCTCTCCCGAAATTAAACACCTCACCTAATAATGTGCCGATCACACGACTGGCTCCTTCGTTCCTCCGCTCGTAAGAGTCAACAATAGAAGCCAGAACCACCGGGTGGATTTTCACAACGGGGCCGTGGACCGCCATCTTTAGCAGAGGAAGTGAGAGAGTGCTGTCGGGAAACAGAAGAAAAATATCGCAATAAGTCTACTTCTGCCCCGCTGTGGTCACACACCGTTATACCAGGCAAGCAGGAGCTGTACGTGTGTGTTCAGCTTGGCTGACTTCGCAGTGCAGGCTTTGCTCCATGCGAATTCGTTCAGTTTGATTCGTACCTGCTTCCAGATTCTATATTTGTATACTGTAATCAGAATGTGTGACAAAGTACCTACCTCAGATTTACAGTGTTGATCTGCAGCCAACACTAAAACCACCTCCTTGTCTCTACACTCATTGTCCATTTTATCAGCTCCACTTACCATACAGGAGCACTTTGTAGTTCAACATTTACAAACTGTAGTCCATCTGTTTCTCTGAATACTTTGTTAGCCCCTTTTACCTTTTCTTTAATGGTCATGACATCCACAGGACCACCACATAGCGGTATTATTTGGGTTGTGGATCACTGGCATTGTGGTGATGTGTTAGTGTGTGTTGTGCTGCTATGAGTGGATCAGACACAGCAGTGCTGCTGGAGTTTTTAAACACTGACCACTAACTGTCCACTCTATTAGACACTCGTATCTTGTTGGTCCACCTTGTAGATGTAAAGTCAGAGACAGTAGCTCATCTGTTGCTGCACAGTTGGTCATCTTCTAGTTCTTCATCAGTGGTCACAGGATGCTGCCCACAGGACTATTCTCAGCCCAGCAGTGACACTGAGGTGTTTAAAACTCCAGCAGCACTGCTGTGTCTGATCCACTCGTACCAGCGCAACACACACTAACACACCACCACAACATCAGTGTTACCGCAGTGCTGAGAATGATCCACCATTAAAATAATACCTGCTCTGTGGTGGTCCTGTATGGGTCCTGACCACTGAAGAACAGGGTAAAAGGGGAATAACAAAGTATGCAGAGAAACAAATGGCCTACAGTCTGTATTTTTGTATTTTAGAACTACAAAGTGCTCCTCTATGGTCAGTGAAGCTGATGAAATGGACAGTAAGTGTGGAAACGAGGAGGTGCTTTTACTGTTATGGCTAATCTGTATATATCTCAGAACTACTATTCAGAGTGGTTTTATGTGAAATGGTGCACTGTAGAGAAACTCACCAATTCAGATTTCATTACAACAGTGATGATAACCAGGAGTCACAATGTCTACATTACAAATATGGCCATTTTCTTACTTTATAAAATAACCAATGAACCTACTTTTGTTTTTAAATAGGCTTTATTATGATACTATTTTTCCTTACAATTTGCTGCATGTACCTCCTCCTGCTTGTGTTTACAACAAATATATATATATATATATATATATATATATATATATATATATATATATATATATGTTTGTTTTTGGCCAAAATTTTACAATGGACATTTTATGTAATAACTTCCTGTGAGGTAGCTATTAGATACATTAAAGGGTAATTCCACTCACAATAATTCAAATGCTAAAATGTAAATAAAGTAATTCAGAGTGGTTCAGTGTGAAATGTTCCGGTCTAGAGAAACCTATAGAGTCAGTAACTGTTTACTGTTTACAGAGGTGGTGATGGGCATCTGAAGATTTGAATGCTTCCTAAAGCTCCCTCATGGAACGTTATTACATAAAATCATATGCCTGATGACATTGTTTTATGTTTCTTTTGAGAGAAGGTTTTGGCCTGAAACCTAATTTTTATATCCATTTTTGGTGGAGAGGTGCATAGAGGGCATTGTCAAGCAAAATAGTCCTTAAATAGTCCCACCACTAAACAATTCTCACACAAAAAGTTTTTTAGAATGGGTCGTTTCACATCAAACCACTCTGAATGTCTTTATTTACATCTTAAAAACTGAATTATGCAGATTGCCCTGTAAGTGCTTCAGATGTCTGTTTTCAATCATCACCGCTTTGAACAGTTCTGACACTAGAGTGACGCATTTTGCATTAAACCACTCTGAATGACTTTGTCCAGATCTTATTGATTTAATTGTTTAACTTTTGAAAAATCTATGGATTTGTGACGTTTGAATCTAAAAAATAAATTTAGTTGTGGCTTGTGGTATGCTGTTGTATAACATTAAGAATGGGAGTCCAGTAGAGGGCAGTGTCCGTCTTTGCAAAGTAATAAAGAAGTGGCAGCTGTACAATGTATACATAGACAGGACATTAACTATATAAGACAATACTTTCCTTACACAGTTGTTCAAGACCTCAAGAAAGATGAGTAAGTACTACTTAGGTAAAAGTACTTTTTTTGTAAAAAAAAATATTGAAGTAAAAGTTGAAGTATAACAGATTTTGTACTCAAGTAAAAGTATAAAAGTACATATTTATAATTGTACGTAAAGTAAAAAAGTAAAAGTATATCTTTAAAAATCATCTCCAATTAAATTTTTGGAATAGGATATCTTTATACTGAGAGTTAGAGGTGCACATCAATCAAACAGTGTGTACATAATGGTTTATACTAGAACTGCATGCATCATCATCCACAAAAATCCACACATCTTGAGCACCTAAACATGTTTACATATTAGATTTTCTTTACAAGAATTTGAGCTGGATATTGTTGCAACATCTCCTAAGAAAAAACAGTCTGTTTTTACTTCAGCAGTGAAGGCTGAACACCAGACCAAATGAATCCTTTAAGTAAGACCAGGACGGGAGTGGGACTTGTTTTCAGACCTGGAGTTACACACACACAAAGCGTGCTAATGTCCTGCAGTGTCATTGCATCTGGCTATAGCCTATTCCTAACAGCCATGCATGCATCATTCTACATATTCCAACACTTCCACCCCACAAAACAGTAGCAACTGGGCAGACCCAAATGAAGACATCACAGAGCTAATGTGTAATTACAAGGAAAACGACACAGCAATCTTAAAAACCTTAATCTAGTCATTGTAGGCTAAAGCATATTGCCACGGCAAACATAAAACATGTTTATTGGTCTATTTATGTCTTGACTCAATGCACTGAAGTAACGTCTGTTCAGGTGTCTGAACATAACTGCTAGATTATTTAAAGTGGAATGGGAAATTAAGTTAACTTCAGCTTCATTTAATCTCTATCCACTGTATGAGTCTCAGTTACAGTCCTGGGGCTGTATCACTCGAGACAGGGGCTGCCTACATCACAACAGATATAAATTTGGATGCAATATTAACAGTTCGAGGATTCTTGTGCTGTGAGTTTATTCATTAACTTGCAGTAACTGACCTGAAACTCTACCAGTTTACTGGGAATTCTCCTGACTCTCCCGATAACCCCAAAATACATAAAATAAATAAATAAATAGATTGTTACAACTAAAGTAAGAAGTAAAGTAACAAGTACAGATTTTTCCTTTGAAACATAGTGAGTTAAAAGAAATAATTACTGAATGACAGAAATGCTCAAATACAGATACTTAAAAAATTACTTAAGTACACTAACAAAGTACTTGTACTTCGTTACTTACCACCTCTGCTGTAAACACAAAGATTTCCAGGTTCCTCATGGCTCACAGCCTCAAAACGAATTTCAGCCCATTCTCTCTGAGGTTGTGAACCTAGATGACAAATATCTAGGTATAGTGGATGACTGATACAAGTGTCATGACAAATGGGACTTTACCTAGATTGAAGCTGAAATAGCCCCAGGTAGCAGTGCTGAGGTCATTGCATGATGAGAAGTGACATTAACTCTGTAGAAGGAGGACAATGACCAAGTAGCTGCTGTAAAAACCATCAATCAGAGACACTTTTCAGTGCTGTAATCCAGGCAGAGTGACAAGAGATAGACCTGACATAAATGACCTCCACCAACCTCCCAGTGTAAAGGCCTTTGTTGTGGCAGAAGATTCTCTGTATTTCTATAACTGAAGCAAACAGTAATTGGTCTGTTTGGCAGATATCAACAAGCACTAAAGTGCACTGGTGAAGATTACAGGCAATGTCAAACGTCCTGATCATGAAGCCAAAGCAATACATCAATTTACATATTGTGGGCATAAGACCTTAGAGAGAAATACCAGATGGATCCATAGCATGATGCCACAGCCACTGATTGCAGACATAGCAGGCTTACAGATGATGCATGCAGCTTCCCTACATGCTGGCTGAGGTAATCATCAGTAGATAAGAGTCCTTTGTGAGATCCACTTGAGGCCTGCTTGAGACAACGAGGGGGCTGAATTAGAATCCAGAAATTTAAAACAATTATTTTTAATGGAGTTGCACACATCAAAGCCTACATTTAGGTTCAACACTCTGTGACTTCCAGTACTGCTCAATTTCTCTGACCACCAAAGTGTACCATTTAGCATTTTGCTATTACTGCACAAAATTAAACAGAACAAGACCACATAAATTGATGTTAGGTGACCTGAAGCTTGAAATTTATGCAGAGAAAGGCAGTCAGTACAAAATGTTTAAGATAAACAGACAAATGCTAATCATCTGTTAGCTCAGATAACATTACTAGCCTAATCTTTTTTAACCTTGTATCTTTTAGCTTGAAAACAATAAATGTATGAAGTTTGTTAACACCAAACAAGTTGAGTTCACCAAATGATTTTAAAAGTTTACTCCATTAGATCTATATGAGAAGAGGGCAAACTGAACTTGAGCTTGATATTTATCAGTGCTCTCACTGCAACACTGCATCTGATATGCAATGCTATATGGCACTGCATGGCTTGTCTGGTGAGCAATGGCCTTCAGACTCCAGTCCTGGAGGCCCACTATAGAGTTCAGCATTCTGCCTCAGCTGAAAAATGCATTTGTGAGTTGAACTTATAGTGTTAGAAGATGAAAAACATTGTCTGCAGGGCTGTAGCCCCAAAAGATCTGAATTTGACACTCTTGTCCTAGCCCTAGGGCAAAGCCCATGGCATACATTTAGGTGAGTTCATGAGCTGTAGGTACCACATGTCCGCCCTTAAGCAAAGCCTTTTTCACCACGGGTTATCCCATATATATAAACAGCAGCCATGTAAACATTAATATGAATTTAACACCAGGTTGCACCAATT